GAAATGACACCCCGGAAATAGATCACAAAACGCGGAGTGATTGCCAGAAATTGCATCGCATGTGTGAGAACACCGATACAATGCGATTCAGTAATAAAATGGGTCCTGCACCTTCCTTGCGCAGATGTAATGAAATTTGAGCCATACAAAATGTCTCAAATTGCACCACATAGACATCACATGTAATTTGCACAGGAATGTGGAGTGTGATGCGCACCGCATTACTGTGAACATGGTGTAAAAGAGAAGTTTGGGATTTTTTTTTTTCAATTATAATTACCCAAGTGGATTCTGCATTGGATAAGAGCTGTCTCCCGACAGCTCTTAGGCTGAGAACTGAGCGATCAGACACTTCTGATCACTCAGTTCTCCCTGATGCACTGAGCAGAGAGCTGGTGACCGTTAGTCACCCCTGTCTGCTCTGCCTCCCCAGGACTCACTGGAGCACTGGACTGTGATGAGGGCTGTAGCTTCTGGCTCAGGCTTTCAAAGGATCACTGAGAGGCTGAGCCAGGTGTCTGTTCAGGCTTCTGGGTGAATCCTGACCATATGGTCATGATCTTTCCTCAGCCTGGAGCGGCTGAGTAACGTCAGCTGACAGCAGATTTTAGCCCGCTGTCGGATGAAGTCACAGGAGTGCAGAATGAACTGCATTCCTGTGATCCACTGGGGAAATACAGCCAAACAAGCATTGGCTTTACTTCTTTAAGTTTATAGTCTATAGTCATTTTTTCTGTTTTAGATAGCATAGGGAAGCATTAGGTCTCATGTACACTGGACGTTTTTGCTATCTCTCTAAAGGCTAGACACCTTTCCTCCTGGAAGCAGTGTTTTGGCAGAAAAAACTCTTGACATTTGTAAAAACGTGTAACACATAAAAGCGTTTGGGTGTCAATTCTTTTAATTGGGCAGAATAATAATTTATTTTGGACATTAAAATGAAGAAAAAAAAAACCACTCAAGTACTAAATGCTCCTAGCACTCAGGCACATTTAGACGTGTTTTAACGCATCGACCTTTTTTTTTGGAAAAAACACTGTTGCTCCAGGATGTGCTGGCAGTGTTTTTTTTTTTTTTCTTTTTGTCTCTAAATCCCCCTATCTCTGAACTCTTTTATACACCTATTTGTGTATGGATACATAGGCTAACAGGCAGGGGAGATTAGAGGCAGGATAAAAAAAATGCCAGACACCCCTCAGAGCAACACCAAAAACATCCAGTGTGCAAGAGGCCTGAAAGCCCATGCTAGTTTTTTCATCATCTGTGTCTTTCCAGTTAGTGAGAATGCTGTTTGCTTTTTGTCCCGGTCTAAAAAAAAGTTATGTATCTTTTACAGTCATGTATCCTAAATGTATATGTTCCTAAACTGCCCTAGTCTAGGTATACATTTCATATATTTAAATTTTATAATACAGTATATATATATAAATCTCAGCCACGGCACCACCTGCCTGGAGTTTGCATGTTCTCCCTGTGCCTGCGTGGGTTTCCTCCGGGTACTCCGGTTTCCTCCCACACTCCAAACACATGCAGGTAGGTTAATTGGATCCTGTCTAAATTGTCCATAGTATGTGTATGTATGAATGTGAGTTAGGGACCTTAGATTGTACACCCCTTGATGGTTAGGGACTGATGTGAATGTATAATATATATGTAAAGTGCTGCGTAAATTGACGGCGCTATATAAGTACCTGAAATAAATAAATATATATATATACACACACACTATTTTGTCAGAAGTATTGGGACACCCCTCATAATCATTGTATTCAGATGTTCTAATCAACCCCTTGGCCACAGGTGTATAAAATGAAGGACCTAGGCATGCAGACTGCTTCTACAAACATTTTTGACAGAATGGGTTGCTCTCAGGAGCTCAGTGAATTCAGGCGTGGTACCGTGATAGGTTGTCACCTGTGCAGTCCATCCGTGAACTTTCCTTGCAATTAAATATTCCACAATCAGCTGTTAGTGGTATTATACAAAGTGGAAGCAACTGGGAACAACAGCAACTCAGCCATGAAGTGGTAGGCCACATAAAATGACAGAGCGGGGTCAGCGCATGCTGAAGCGCACAGTGTGCAGAAGTCGCCAACTCTCTACAGAGACAATAGCTAAAGACCTCCAAACTTCGTATGGCCTTCAGATTAGCACAACAACAGTGTGTAGAGAGCTTCATGGAATGGATTTCCATGGCTGAGCAGCTGCATCCAAGCCTTACATCACCAAGTGCAATGCAAAGCGTCGGAAGCAGTGGTGTAAAGCACGCCGCCACTGGGCTTAGTGGAGACGAGTTCTCTGGAGTGATGAATCAGGCTTCTCTGTCTGGCAATCCGATAGACGTGTCTGGATTTGGTGGTTGCCAGGAGAATGGTACTTGCCTGACTGCATTGTGCCAACTTTGGTGGAGGGGGGATTATGGTGTGGGGTTGTTTTTCCAGGGTTGGGCTTGGTGAAGGGAACTCTTAAAGCGTCAGCATGTCAAGACATTTTGGACAATTTCATGCTCCCAGCTTTGTGGGAACATTTTGGGGATGGCCCCTTCCTGTTCCAATATGACTGTGCACCAGTGCACAAAGCAAGGTCCATAAAGACATGGATGAGTGAGTTTGGGTTGGAGGAACTTGACTGGCCTGCACAGAGGCCTGACCTCAACCCGATAGAACACCTTTCAGATGAATTAGAACGGAGATTGCAAGCAAGGCCTTCTCATTTGACATCAGTGCCTGACCTCACAAAATGTGCTTCTGGAAGAATGGTCAAACATTCCCATAGACACACTCCTAAACCTTGAGGGCAGCCTTCCCAGAAGAGTTGAAGCTGTTATAGCTTCAAAGGGTGGGCCAGCTCAATATTGAACCCTACAGACTAGGACTGGGATGCCATTAAAGTACATGTGCGTGTAAAGGCAAGGGTCCCAATACTTTTGGCAATATAGTGTACGTGTGTGTGTATATATATATATATATATATATACATACACACACACACAGGGTTTTTTTCCCAGGAACTCCCCCTTCTGAGTCACTCCTTATTTCCACCCTTCTACACACCCCCAAGCATCATCCCTTGGTTCCACCCCCTACCCACCTCCCAGTACCGCTCCTTTTAGAGAATACAGAGTCAAGTAAAGTAATTTTTTTACAAGAACAGCAGTAAAACAGATGCCCTGCAGCCAGCAACAATAGATTCCCCCAGCACCAATAGCCCCCCCCCAGCAACAATAGATCCCCCAACAACAATACCCCCGATACAATAGATCCCTCCAACAATGGACCCCCAAAACAAAATCCCACCCCAGCAACAATAGACCCCCATCAGTAGCAACAGATCTCCCATTAGCAAGCAACAATAGACCCCTTCTGGCAACAATTGACATCCCAGCAACAACAGATTCCTCTCCAGCAACAATAGACCTCCATGCAACAATAGATCCCCACTAGTGACAATAGATGCCAGCATCAATAGACCCTCCAACACCCTTTGCCACTACATACACTCAGTGCAGGAGGTGCTGGAACTGTATTCCGCTGCATTTCCCCTGAAAAAAAGCCATATATATATATATATATATATATCTATATATATATATATATATATATGCATTAATGTTTTCCACAATACCATTACTGCCATCATACATAGATAGTGCCTGGTCCCAGTGCGGCTGGCCCCATTGGTAAAAGCATATACTGTAATCTACTCTTGTCAAATTTGTTGCCTAATTTCTAACCCCACTCTTGCCCACATGTGTGAAATATAGATGATATTTCAGTGGCATTATGATTACAAGTTGAAAATTATTATTATTATACAGGATTTATATAGCGCCAACAGTTTGCGCAACGTTTACAAAATGAGAGCAGACATTACAGTTACAATACAATTTGGTAGAAGAGGAATCAGAGGACCCTGCTCCTTGGAGCTTACAATCTAAGAGGGAGGGATATCTATTGTGATATTGTGCTAGTCAGGACTAAAGAATAGTCGGCTTTTCTTTATATTAGACTCCGGTTTAGAATAGCGTGTGGTATGCATTGAATGTAGTATCAGCAGGGATGACACTTTAGTGCACAATCCAAACTTCAGGGTATATATTAACAGCAGGGTTTTATGAGACCATTCATTGTGCTACAGGTTTGTTTGTGCAATGGATTTCCTTGGAGACATTCCTACTATGCACATGCCTTTCACCACATACTGTGCCTGCCTGCATTACACAATGCTTTCACCAATGACATAACCAGCTACAGCATTAAGATCAATACCACCTCAGGGTACTGTTAGTTTCTCAAACACAACCCATTCCACTTTACATTTTCATTTAGGGTAACAATTTGACTTTGTGTTTGGTGTAGACTTGTTCTCGTTTATTCACTTTCACTGTATGTTATACTGTGCAAATATCAAGTAAGAAAAAGACAGATGAAATATTCATTTAGAGAATAGTTTTATATTTCACGTTGTTATAGTACTATCAAATTATACAGTGATTTACAGAATACATTTATATCAGTTGTTGAATTTTGCCAATCTAGTAAAAGGGACACAAGGGGGTTTATTTAGGGCTAGTTCACACCAAATGCAGTCCAATGCATTTTTACTCTGCATCAAAAATGCAAGGACAGTGTTTAACATGGATTCCAATAGCCCAGGTTCACACCAGTGCAGTCAGCAAAATAGAACATGTTGCATTTTTTTCTCTATGGAATGCGATAAAACGCATCAAAGACGCACCAGAACACAAATGTCCTCATTTGAGATGAAGAAAAAAAGAGGGGAAAAAACACACTGGAATGCATCAAAAATGCAAATGTAGAAATGCACCTGGAATGCAGAAATTGTGGTGTCAACTGGCCCTTCCTATTGGCTGTTCACTTTGCAAGGGAATCTTCTTAGCTTAGTGAATGTGGTGAACAGGGGCGGACTGACCATTTGGAAACTCGGGCGCTGCCTAGGGCCCAGGGTCAGTAGGGGGCCCCATGAGATGCCCCTGGTACCTTTTTCATAGGCTTTTTTGAGTTTGGGCAAGGACATAGGGGCCCCATGATCTCCTATTGCCTGGGGGCCCCATGAGTTGTCAGTCCGCCCCTGATGGTGAAAATTTGCTTTGCAAAGAATACCCAATCACATGCATGGAAAATAGAAAAAAAAATTTCTGCTTGCACATGATTGGATAATGGAATTCCGCATGAACTTCACTAGACTTGCTAGGGTAAGGGAGTTTTCCCTTGCAAACAGCCTATTTGCCTTTAAATCAACCACTATAACTTCATTGGTAGGGAGGATGCACACTTTTAGAGCTCAGATAATATAAATAATTGTATCGTATTGTGGGAGAAATATAACTTCTGTATATTGAAATGCTTGGGCATGATAGGCAGGATGATAGGGCCCGTAGTCCCTGTAGTTCAGCTGTAATGACTATCCCCTCCCCTCAAACACACAGCAGTGGAAGCAATGCCAGGATAGTTGTATTATTTCCAATGGTCTTTGTGTTTGCATGCTTGTTATACTGTATGAAGCATTTGCATTTATGGTAGAAGTTAATGATTAAAGTGGAGCTCCACCCAAAAGGGGAAGTTCCGCTTGTCTGCCTCCCCCCCCCCCTCCACTGCCAGATTTGGCACTTTGGGGGGGGGGGGGTACCAGTTTTGACAGGTACCCACTCCCAATTCTGGATCTGAGCTGGAAGTTCGCTCCCCCCAACCCCGCAGCCCTCTGGGACCTGTGAAGTGCAGTGACCTGTGAAGGCTGCGGCCCATTCACGTAGCGCAGCGCTCTTTGCGCATGCACGGTAGGGAACTACTGGTTCCCCTTACTGAAAATTCCGATGCTAGCACCCGAAGCCGAATGAAGAATCAGTTTGGGTGAGGACATCTCTGGACCCCCAGGAAAGGTAAGTGCCCTTATATTAAAAGTCAGCAGCTAAATTATTTGTAGCTGCTGACTTTTAATTTTTTTGGGGGGACCCAGAGCCCTGCTTTAAGTCTTCAGCTTTTTAAAGAACTTTCAGCAGATGATTTAACCACTAACTGAGTATGCAGCATTTTTATCTTTTAATCCATGCCTATATTCCAGGTTAAGCTGGAGCCATGACCACTGCCCCAGGTTTCCTGTTTCAGGGTGACTCCTTTCTTTTGCAGCATGCTATGGAGCCATCCTTGCATGCAGGAACTAAAGTTGTCTCCCTACACCATGTGCATCAATAAAAACACACAACTCTGTAGCCTAAGATAGCAAGGCACTGTCGATAGTTAAGTCTTTCTTGTGAAGACCAGAAGTTCTGGGAAGTGGCACTGAGAGGGCAGGATCCAGCAACACTAAAAGTGCTGTGGTAAGAATTTTAACAAATATTTTACTGGAGAATGGTTATTTTATTGTTATCAATGTGTTAAGCTAAACATCACTGGGGATTTAATACTACTTTAACCACTTGCCCTCCTGAGGATTTACCCCCCCTTCCTGACCAGGCCATTTTTTTCGATGCGGCGCTGCATTAATTTAACTGATAATTGTGCGGTCATGCAACTCTGCACCCAAAATAAATTTCTGTTCTTTTTTTCCCCACAAGTGGAGCTTTCATTCAGTGATATATGATCGCCTGTGCGTTTTTAATTTTTTGTGCTATAAACAAAAAAAGACTGACAATTTTGAAAAAAACCCCAATATTTTAGACTTTTTGCTATTAAACATGTCCAGTAAAAAAATTAAAAAAATCTAACTTCGTCATAAATTTAGGCCAAAATGTATTCTGTGACATGTCTTTGCCAGAAAAAAAATCCCAATACGTGTGAATTACTTGCTTTCCATGATAATTATAGCGTCTACAAATGGCGGTATATATATATATATTTTATATATATATATATATATATATATACTGGAATTTTTTTTTTCTAAGACTAGTAATGGCACAGATCAGCAACTTATAGCAGGACTACAGCAGGCATTCTGACACTGGGGGGGGGGGACTGACTAATTGCCACTGACACTAATACAGTGATCAGTGCTAATAAAAAGCATTGACACTGTACTAATGACACTGGGCAGGAAGGGGTTAACATCTGGGGCGATCAAAGGGTTAACTGTGCGCTGTGTACTGTTTTACTATGTTGTCTGTGTTTGCTTTACTGTGCAAGCATGCTGCTTTGTATTGCTCTGCTATGCAGAGCAATACAAAGCGGCGTGCTGGTGCTGACGGGAGAAATCTGTAGCCGCCAATGGCGGCGTGGGTAGGGCGGCACGCACTCGCCCCTACCGGGAAATACAAAATCACGTATATATATATATATGTGATTTTGCACAGCCCTGCTGCCCTGTAGCAGTACTTCTGCTATAATGTGGTTGGGAAGCTGTTAAACATCTCAAGACCATAAACAACATTTTGCATCAGGGCTCCAAGTAGACAAATCAGGCCATTCTACAAAATGTTGATTGGGGTCTGTTGATTACATGTACAAGAGATATACCACTTATGTTGTTTCCAGTTTGCTCAGGACAGTTTAAATGATCACACCACTGTTGATAGGCATGTAGTGATAAGAATGTGGGTGATAGAGAAGGATACCTCTACAAATAGACTCCAAGCATCTGTGCCAGGGTAATATTTGTAGCAAATGGTAATGCTGAGCACAAAGCATTCAGTATATTAAACCTAGGCTGTGGATATTTATTGACCACAACCATTACTATTTATGACTATTACTTAAATGTAACCTGATATTATTTAATACAGATGGCTTTTGTATCAACAAATGCAATAACATGAATGATGACTTCATTGAATATATAGATCAAACTGCATAACTAGGAGATATAATACACTAAGGTCACAAAAAAATGAAATAAATAAAACACATGGCAAATGGAAGTTCCATTAATAAACCATCGTAGAATTTATAATAACCTACAAGACATATAATGAGAACAGTGGAATGGTTTACACCCTGGTATTGCTTACATTTAACACTTCTGTGACAAAAATATACACCATCCTTTTTGACTGCAAACGTGTTGACACAGCAATCATTACACAAAGACGTAAGATGATTTTAGATATTACAGCAAACACTTGGCTTTGTTGTTGAAGTATTTTTATTCATTGCTAATTTGGGATAATCAGGGGCGGACTGACAACTCATGGGGCCCCCGGGCAACAGGGGATCATGGGGCCCCTGTGTCCTTGCTCAAACTCAAAAAAGCTTATGAAAAAGGTACCAGGGGTATCTTATGGGGCCCTCTACTGACCCCGGGCCCTCAGCAGTGCCCGAGTTTCCAAATGGTCAGTCCGCCCCTGGGGATAATACAATATTAATAGAACTTATATTACATGGAATTATTTATGGGAAAAAGTAAGGTTCCAGTCACATTAAGGTGTTTCAAATCACGTGGCGGAATCACCGCAATTTGAAAACGCGGTGTGACAATGTGAAAACGCGCAATTACATTTGGAGGTGCCATTTGTTTCAATGACGCCTGAAAACGCTGGGAGTTTTTGCTGAGATCGCGTGCCAAACGCGCCGCAGTTGCACAAACAAAAGCGCGGAATGCCCAAAAAAGATTCCGGAACCATTTCCAAAGGAATGGCACCTCCAAACGCGATCACGCGTTTTCACATTGTCACACCACATCTTCAAATTGCCAGCAGAATCACGGTGATTCCACCCGCGATTTGAAACACCCTAATGTGAATGGAGCCGAAAAGATGACTAAAGTGTTACTAAACCCACAACAGTAAAATCAGTCTGTATATGCAGTGATGCTACATAAAGGGGGTAATCCTCTGCATTGTGTAAAAAGGATGTTTGGTCCTGTCTTCTCTGATCCTCCCCTTCTTCTACTGTCCCCAGTCCATCTCCTGATAGAACAGAGCCTAGAGGGCCAGCTGCACATGCTCAGTTTGGTGCGTATTGCTAGAGAGTTGTTTTTTTTTTGAGGATGCATGTGAGCACAGGGCCAATCAGCACTTTACAGACAGATGATCAGGGGTCCTGCAGCCTCATAGGACAATCAGGGAAGAATGAAAACTACTCCTACAAGCTTTACCCAGTGCTCTGCTGGACACTGATAGAAGTCACAAGACTGCTTTAACTGCTGATGAGAAAAGGTATTTAGCAGTTTATATTTACTAAAATAATTGAATTTTCATATTCTGTGTACCGTTGGAGACCAGATATAGTGAATCCAGGGTCATGAGTTTACTAACACTTTAAAAGGGTGTTTCTTTCTTTTGTCTAGGTGTATGCAGTTTCATGCACACTAGCGATTTTTTTTTAAGCTACAAAAATCCCTGGATAAAAAATGCTGGTAATAGTGTTTTTTAGTAGCGTTTTAGTAGCGTATAGAAAAGTTTAGGAGCGTTAGCATTTTATTAGCGTTTTTTACAGTACATGCAGAAAAAAAAGCTGTTAAGAGCGTTTTAGTACCATTTAGTGGTGTTTAGGAGTGTTCTGAGGTTTTTTCTGCTGGAAAAACCCTCTAAAAACCTCTACAAAAACATTTTTTTTCTGCTCCTAGACGCTGACGCTCAAAAAACACACTAATAGCCTAAAATAGTGTGCATGGACACATAGGATAACACATTTTGGCTTCTAGGAGCAGAAAAATGCTAATAACAGCTTCTAGGAGCTTAAAAAAACACTAGTGTGCATGGAGCCTGAATGAAGAAAAAAAAACGGAAATCTCAATACATTTACAAAACTTCTTTGAATAAAACATTTGTAGCAAAGCGAAAACAAGAAACAGTTGATATGTCCTTGGAGATCCGTGCGTTCATTAAATTACTTCGTATTTGGTGGATTTTGTCAGTTGATTGATTTTTGGGTTCTCGAATACTGGAGTGGACATTATCCCCATTGTTTCAAGTTTGGAGCCCTGTTGTAAATATGTTTAAGCTTGGCTTTGAGCCAAGGTCTTTTATTCTTATGGACAATCAGCAGAGTGTGGGTGGCTGCACTAATCATGCTGAGCATTTGTTGATTGCATCTTGTGGAGCATGTCCCCACAGTGCACCATAACTTATGGTATCATAACTGTATCAAAATTTTGGAAGATATGCTTGGGTTGATTTAC